AGACATTTTGCAACTTGGAGTAAAACTGAATATTCCGCCTTTCCTTGAGGCAAACACTAAAAAAAAATTGTCTGCCAAAGATTTTGTACAAACACAACAAATAGACCTTTTTCGCCGCTGATGTCATAAAGCTGTCACATGCTCTCTATTGGGTAAACAAGCCCAGGAAGAACAGCACTTTTATTTTTGGAAGCCATGGTTCATTACTGCTGTGCTTACGATTGTAAAAATAACTCAACTGATAAGGATTTCTCATTTCACAGCTTCCCGAAGGATAAAAAGCTCATAAAGGTAAGAAATATCGCTACAATCAACTGAAATATTTCAGTGAGTCGAATGATACCCTAGTTCGTTTACGGTGTTCACTCAGCTAGCAACATAATTTGTTGTTGTTTTTAAGGTTTGGATTACCCGAATAAAAAGAGATCCGAAGAAAGATTTTAAGGTGACTGAAAGTATGAAAGTTTGTTCTGACCACTTTATGCCGGGGGATTTTATCTCATCTGCGAGTCGGAAGAGAAAATTAAAGAAAGGTGCTTGTCCTTCAGTGTTTTCATGGACTTCCCAAGCACAAGAAAGGTCCTTACCTGCAAAGAGATCAAAACTCCAGGAAGAGAAAGAAATTCTAAAAGCTGAGATAACAGCCACAGCATGTGAGGTTCCTTGTTTTTTCACTGACTTCGAAAGCACAACGCTCTTATGGTTGCATGCCCAGCGCCCTCATCGTACCCAACGTAAACATCATGAATATAACTTTCGGTGAAAAATTTGTACCCTTTTGAACCAATGTCCTTTTTACCACAACCATCCAGGTGGTTGTGAATTTGTTCTGTGGTGAACTTCGGAAGAGGACGAAGATTTTTGGCCCAATTTAAATCTTTTCTTTCTCCACGTGCGCTAACACCACTGTGAGACGCCATTTTTTTTTTGGTATTGTTTACCCATTACAGACCACATGACCTCAACACGAAAAAGGTCTATTGCTGGGTTAAGAATCCATGTGGAGAGAGCAATTAACAAGATAAAGAACTTCCTTATCTGGAAGGGAGAAATACCATTATGTGTATTCTCTGTTGTTAACCAGATGTGGAGTGTGTGTGCCTTTGTGTGCAATACACAAAATCCACTAATTTCAGAAGAGTTTGTATCATTCCAGGGAAGGGGGGGAAGGGGCTGCGATATAAAACAGACAGGGATGCTTTTCATACTGTTAATTTAGGGGTCTTAGCTTCAGGTTTTGAGCCTTGCCTAGGACATTCAGGGAAAGATACTATTTTTTTACATCTGCCAAGGCCTTGTTTGGATTTGGGTGTTTTTGATCACAGAAGCTTAAGCCACTGCCAGATTGGTCTCCTTCAGGGATTTCATTCAAAATTTTCAATAAGCATTCCATCTGTTTTATATGGGAGTCCTCTCCCATATACTGTATCATTTTCATTAATCTTCTTGCAGTTAAGAAGCACATCAAGAACTGGTTAAGTTATTTAAGGCTCCCTTGTTGCCTGTAAAAGAAAATGATTAAAATAATACGACTTTAATGTTCCTTTTAAGGTTTTCCAAATGCTCTCCAGGAGTGGACAAGCCTATGTTGCTGTCTTTCCTTGAACGATCCTAAGAAAAGGACCAGGCATTCATGGAGAGGATAGCTGAGGCTGATGGGCAGTACAGAAGAGAATAACAAAAGTTTTCCATGGATGCAGTGGCGATGCTCGGGAACATTCTTAAGGATGTTAGTAAAGGGAAAGAATGAAGACACAAACATCTCTTTTTCCTGTCCTGAATTCTTTACTTTACAGCTGTTATTGTTATGTTCTGTTGTCTTCGTCCCATAATTTTAATTTCAAGTACAGATACTTGAGAGGTGCTTTAAATGAATTGTTTGATTATTGTTTGGTACGAATTTTTTGGGTATGCTTCATAAAACTTTTGAAATTATTGAAAATAAAACAAGTGATCAGTAAGAACATGAGTTGTTTCGCAAAGTTTGAGTATTTAAGTGGTGTAATTGCCAGCATCTAAAGGTTCATTTTATTATTAATTGTTCTAAGCTTTGCTCATTATTCAAGGAACACTTTTAATCGACAAAAAAAATCTGCATGAAATCAATTGATTTGTAAAGATACCATTAATTAGGAAAAATTACACATGAATTACTTTCAAAACCTTAGCAAAACTTGGGTACATGTATCTAATTATATAGACCAACATAAGCCACAGTACAAGTGTCCATGAAGAATAAAGAATAGAGCATTTAAAAAACTTAGTGCTATTACATTGTTAATCGTGAAGACGTTCCACCCTACTTCTGTATTATTGACAAAATTCCGTGGGCAGCATTTAGGGATTTTAGCTGCTTTTCCGTGAGGAATTGACTTAAAAGTCGAATGTGGAAGTACCCAAATACATTGCCATAGGGACTTCATCTATTCCCTTAAAATGACATATACTCCATAATATTGTCTTTATCATCAGATGCAGTTGGTGATACATCTCCATTGAAACTTTGATCCATGTCATCATCATCACTATCCACTATGTCTATAGGGAATGGGTCTCTGACATCTATAGAATTGCTGTGAAGGACACAGCATGTCAAATAGTGATGCCCACTCTGCTTGTCTCTTCTTCCAGTGCCTTGAAAAGGCACCTCAAGCACCCTTTCAACATTCCATAGGCCTGCTTGATAACAACTAAGGCTTAACTGAGCACACGATTAAAACACAGTTGGCTTTCACTTAATGTACGTGTTTGCTTAAAAGGCTTCATTAGCCAAACAGATAGGGAATATGCTGAGTCCCCTACAAGCATAGGTACAATTTCCAAGCCTGAAATTTGTTTCATGGGCCCTTTCAGCTAGTTGCCTTGATCAATTTCTCGGTGCAGTCTGTTTAATGAAGAATACGAGCGTTATAAATGCTACCAGGGTAGCCAGCACCTACTTCGAGAAATCAAAATGAAGCATCTGCAACACCTTGAATCACAGCATGAAGTAATCAATCCGCTCATCAACAGGCACTGTTTTCAAAGCAATATGAGAGCTGTCAATTGTGCCTACTACTTGGGGAAATGGGGACTTGTTTGTAAACAATCTAGTACTTTGTTGCACCTCTTGCTCAGTTTGTGGAAATTTAATAAATTCTTGAGCGCATCCAGCAAAGGCCTAGCAAAAATCCTGTTTAATCAACATGGCTGCACACCTTCCAATGCCGAATTATCATTGTGTAGATCTGTGTGTCACCAGTTTCTAGTTGCCATAATGCTACCACCACTTGCTTGTGCACCAGAATAGATTGCCACGATCTCGTGTCTTTTTTCACCATATGTGGACCAGTCATGCGAACAATATACTCAAATGTACGCCTTGATATTCTGAAGTTTTCCTTCCACCAATCTTCAATGAATGCTCCACAAAGGAGGTTCTTGAACCAGAATTGGTTCCTTGGACATGACCATGCTCATCTTACCTGTCTTCTGTTTCGAATTATTTGAAGTAAAAACATCCGTTTGCACCTCACTTCCTTGAGGTGCTGTAGCAACAGCAGCTGCTGTAATCTAGAGGCTTCTATTTGCCGCCAAAGAACTATAAAATAAAAAGCAGTGACTACAAGAGCCACACTTTTCTTTTAGTGGTGAGCATGTTTAGGAATTTGTATTTCCCATCAATTTGATTTGCTTGTGAGTGTTGACAGGCAAACTTAACGTATTTGATCCAGTAAAAACAAGAAATGGATGTACCATGGTTTAATAACTTAACCTTGGTAAAATAAAACTGTGATATATGCTCAAGTGTAAACATGGCCTTTGATGTAAACAAAGTAATTCTTCCTGCAACAATTCTTTACAGGCACTCAAGTGCTGAGGTGGATGGCATCCAGAGCACAGAAGAGGAATCAGCAGTTTGCAAAGAGCATTTGTTTGTGATCTCTGATGACCTTGCCCGGGATCACGACTCTGTCCTTTACATCCAGAGGCTAGTTTCAAAGCTTTCAGAAGTATCCAGCTGTGCTACCAAGAAAATGCATGAATTCACAGGTGGATGTGCAGGACAATATGTTAAGATTGTTTATTTTATTTTCTTTAGTTCACGCACTTTGTTTTTATTTCTTTCATTCATTTATTTTTTCGCTAAGCATTATGGTATTGCGCAAGTTTAAGTTCACGCGGCCTCGGCCAAAGTTCAATTAGAAGTAATAAGTTCATTTAGGAGTAAGAAGTGCTTTAAGTTCGCCATCAAGTTCAAGTTGACTGACGCCTTTCCCTTTAGTATTTTCATTGTGTGGGTCAGATAAGTGATTGTTTTGTTTCCTTCTTATTCTAATGTAGTTACAATTGATTAATTTGGTGATTACACGATCCATTTCTAATTCAAGCCTTTTGTTATTATTTCCCTCGTGCATATGTTAATAAGTAGTCCGTTCGAAGCGTTACAAGTTTATACTCTTA